TACATTTGTTGTTTTGTTTGGCAGTTTTTATTTTTAACTTTGTTTTTTTCAAGACAGGGTTTCTCTGTTAGCAGTTTTGACTTTGTAGACTAGGTTGGCTTTGAACTTACTGAGATCCACCTGCCTTTGCCTCCTGAGTACTGGATTTAAAGGCCTGTGTCAGCCAGGTGATGGTGGTGCACACCTTTAATCCCAGCACTTGGGAGGCAGAGGCAGGCGAATCTCTGTGAGTTCAAAGCCAACCTGGTCTACATGAGTGAGTTCCAGGACAGGCTCCAAAGCTACAGAGAAACCCTGTCTTGAAAAAACAAATAAATAAATAAAATAAAGGCACGTGTCACCACACCTGGTTAATTTTTTTAACTTTTATAAGAATGTTTAAGCTTTAAAATTTTTTTTTTGGACGGGGGGCGGGGAGCAGTTTCGAGACAGGGTTTCTCTCTGTAGCCCTGGCTGTCCTGGAACTCACTCTGTAGACCAGACTGGCCTTGAACTCACAGAGATCCTCCTGCTTCTTTCACCCTAGTGCTGGGATTAAAGGCGTGCATCACCACTGCCTGGTTTAAATTATTTTTATTATTATGTATTCATGTATAAATGAGATTCATTTAGTTTTATTTTGTGTGTGCTTGTCTGCATAAATGTGTGTGCCCCATATGGGTGCAGTTACCAGTGCAGCCAGAAGAAGGTACTGAATCGCCTAGAATTGAAGTTACAGAGATTTGTGAGCCACTTTGTGGGTTCTGGGAATAGAAAACCCCTTCTCTCCAAATGACATGTGGTGGTTTGACTGACATGTCCCCATACCCTCAGGTCTGGTTTGGGAAGGTTTAGGAGGTGCAGCCTTGCTGGAGGAAGTATATCACCATGGGTGAGTGGGTGTTGAGAGGAAATTCTCACCCCATTTTCAGTTCACGCTTCTGTTTGGGGTTCACTGTGTGAGCTCTCAGCTTCTGTTCCTTCCACCATGCTGGCCACCACTGGCTGTGCTGCCCCTCCACAGTGGACTCTAACCCCCCGGAACTGTTAGCCCAAATCAACTGTCTTCCATAAATTGCCTTGGTCTTGGTGTTTTATCACAGCGACAGAAATGCAGTCCATACAGCAGGCATGCGCACCATGCTGGCTGCACACAGGCTCTGAATCCTGAGGGCCAGGCCTTCTGTGTTCTGTGATCGTTGCTCACAGCCTGTGTGTGGTTCTGGGATAGCTGGTAGCAGTGGCAGGGTAATCGTCCCCTTGGCTCTTCATAGTGTGATGTCTCTGGAATCCTGCCTCTGCCTCCTGAGTACTGGGTTTTAAAGGCGTATGTCAGCCGGGTGGTGGTGGTGGCGGCACAAGCCTTTAATCCCAGCACTTGCGAGGCAGAGGCAGGTGAATTTCTGTGAGGCTCCAAAGCTACAGAGAAACCCTGCCTCGAAAAAACAAAACAAAACAAAAAAGTAAATAAATAAAATAAAGGCAAGTGCCACCACATGCCGTGCCTCACGGGCCTAGTCCCAGTCACCTCAGGCTCTGAGCCTGGCTGCCGTGTCCCTCCCCACCCCACCCCGCTGCATGTCGGGATCTGAGGGGTCCGTCTGATGTCCAGTGCTGTCCTGGGGGAATCACCCTAGCACTGGAAACTGAAGGAGGAGGGTCATTGCGAGCTCCAGCAAGGGCACACGTCTTGCCTCCGGTGTGGGGAGGGAGAGAAAGAAAGGCGAGAAAAACCACATGAGTCTGCACTACTCTACTCGGGTAGGGCAAGCACTCTGGTCTCCATGTTCTTTCTTGTTCGCAGAGGGGCCTGGCTCTTCATAAGCCCCTGGCCTCCCTGCTCTTCTTGGGGTTGTGTGGGACAGCTGAGAAGGCTTCCATAGCACCAGTAAACATCTTGCCTGTCACATACAGGCCAGGTCCCTCTGATCTGTGTCCAGTTGGAGCTGCCCCAGAACCCTGCTAAGGGACTGAGGGCCGAGAGGAAGTGCAGCAGGCTGTGAGCATGCAGGCTGGTGGCTGAGATCCAGCTGGCCACTGCCTTACCAAGCTTGCTAGAGGTATAGTCAGGGACAAAGGCCACCACATCCTTGGGAAGGGCCATGAGGGTTTATGGGTAAAAGCTTCAATGATTTTTTTTTTAAAGTTTTTCAAGACAGGGTTTCTCTGATGTGGAATTCCCCTCTGTGTGCTGTGAATATCATTGGTGAATAAAGAATCTGCCTTGGCCTGTTGATAGGGCAGAACTTAGGTAGGTGGGAGGGGGGGAACTTGGGAGAAAGGAGGCAGAGTGAGAGAGAAGCCGTGGAGCCTCCACTGGAGACAGACATGCTGAAACGTTGCTGGTAGGCCACGACCTCGTGGTGATGCACAGGTTAATGGAGTTAGGTTAAACTAAGATGTAAGAGTTAGCCAATAAGAAGCTAGAGCTAATGGGCCAAGCAGTGATTTTATTAATATAGTTTCTTTGTGATTATTTTGGGGCTAAGCAGCCGGGAACCAACTAAGGGCCTCCTCCAACATTTCTCTGTGTAGCCCTGGCTGTCCTGGAACCTCTCTGTAGACCAGGGCTAACCTCAAACTCACAGAGCTCTGCCTGCCTCTGCCTGTGCCCCACCTCCAGTTCAGCCTCAAGGATGTTAATCAGCAGGAGAAAACCTAGAGTGAGCTGGGTCGGCTGGGAAACTGGCAAAATCCCTGTTGGACAAACATGAGGGTGTGAGTTCAGGTCTGCAGAGGATAGGCAGATCTCTGGGAATGACTGGACAGCCAGGTTACCCAATTCAGTGAGTCCCAGGTCTCAGTAAGAGGCCTCTGGAGGTGGATCTCTGTGAGTTCAAGGTCATTACAGAGAGAGTTGCAGCGCAGCCAGGACTACACAGAGAAACTGTTTCAGAAAACAAAACAAGGGTCGGGCACACCTTTAATCCCAGCACTCCACTCGGGAGGCAGAGGCAGGCAGATCTCTGTGAGCTCAAGTCCAGCCTGGTCCACAGAGTGAGTTCTGGACAGGCTCCATAGCTACTGAGAAACCGTGTTTCAAAAAACAAAAAACAACAAACAAAAAAACCGACAAAATTAAAACAACTTTTGTTGATACCCAAGGTTAATTTGTGCACACACAACCCAAGGTTTCAGGGCTGTTTGTGAATGACCAGAGGGAGCACAAATGTCCGTGGAGGGTGAGCTCAGCCGGGCTTGGCGGCTCACACTCTTGACTCCCTAAACTCTGAAGGCTGAGGCACAGCATTACCAAGGATTTTCAAGGTCACCCTGGGACAGAGTAATATGTTGTCTCAGAAATGACCAAGAGTGGGGTGTGGGGTGCGCTCCTTAAATCCAGGTGCTAGGGAGGCAGAGGCAGGAGCTGTTTCTGTGAGTTTGAGGCCAGGTGGGTCTCCATAGGGAATTACAGGATAGCCAGGGCTACAGAGACCCTGTCACAAAAAAATCAAAACAAACAAATAGATAAAAAGAAAAATAAACAGAAAGAGAAAGCTAGAGGGAGTTAATTAGTCAAGTGCTGGCCTAAACCAGTCATCCAAAGTGCAGGAACAGGTGGCACATGCCTGTTGCTGGGGAGGTGGAGGCAGGATAACAGGGTCTCCGCGTGTAGCTCAGGTAAGCCTCAAATCCCTAAGCCTCAGGCCTCTACCTCCCTCTTCTTTTTTTTATTAGATTTTTTTTTTTAAATACCAATCCAAATTCCCACTCCCTTCCCTCCTCCCATCCCCTCCACACACCCTCCCACCCTCCCTTTTCTTCTAAGATTTACTTTTATTTTGGGGAGGGGCTTCAGAGGACAGAAGGAGGTGTCTGAGCCCCTGGAAGCTGAGTCACAAGTGGTCAGTGAGCCATCATGTGGGTGCTCGGTTTCAAACCCAAGTCCTTTGCAAGAGCAGCCATCTTTCCAGTCCCCCCTACATTCCCCCCTACCCGCTGCGCTCTGGCTGTATAGCCCAGCCTGTCTGAGGGCTGGGATTCTAGGTGTGCCGGCACCTCCCCAGCTTTGTTTTCCCAGCCATTCACCTACAAAACCAAGTTAATCTGCTGATACCTTTGAAACCTATTTTACGGAGCCAGGGCCACCCAGAGTCCAGAAGCCAGGTGAGGCAGGAGGGATGTTCCCTGGGGCGTGGCAGAGAACAAGGCTGAGTCAATCCAGCATTTTGGGACAAAGTGCAGGGTGGAAAATAATTCGTCCAAAGGCGTTTGAGCTTCATGGCTGTAATTCCACCCTCTGACTTCTGGCTGGCCTTTCTCAGACTTCCTGTTCTTGCAAAGCTGTTTTGTGAAAGAAACGAGGGGAATAGTTAAGCAAAGCACGCTCCCCCAGCACTGAGGTCAGGCGGGTGTGAGTGGCAGCAGCGACAATATGTGCGTAAGCCCGGCACCCAGGCCTGCAAGAGGTCGTCAGGAGGTCATTCTCAGTTACATTAGACTAGGCAGTTTTAGGCCAGCCCAGGCTGCGCGGCTCTCTCTCTCAAGGGGAAAAAAGAATATTCTGGGAGCAGGCTGTAGAGAGAGCTTACCCCCACTTTTGAGACAGGGTGTCATATGGCTCAGGTTGACTTTGACATGGAGGCAATCCTCCTGCCTCAGCCCCCAACTGCAGAAATGACAGGTGAGGGCTGAGTGACAGGTTTCCCAGGCACCCTTGCTGTGAACGTATCTCACACACCCATGGTGATGATTTCTCTCTGGCTGATCGGCTTCCTGTCATTTAACTCAGAGCCCAAGGAAACCAGGGAGTTGAGGGAGGATCCTATCTATACCTGCCACAATCCGGATGGGGAATGTTCTGGAACTGATGCTGGATGTGCTGACACCCACTGCTTGTGTCTTCCCATCTCTCCAGCTCATGTGATAGAGCTGCAGAGGGCAGCCGGCGCCCCCTGCTGGCAAAGCTGTTACCATTGCTCTTGCCTTGGCACCCAGCAGGTCAGCGTTAGCCACTGGAAAGGGCCACCTTGGTCTTCTAGGGAAAACGGAGGCTTACAGAAGTCAGAGGCAGACAGGGCTGGATTGAACAAATACATCATTTATTGGTCCTCAGTGGTACACCTAGTCCCTCCCCACCCTGGTCAGCGAGCGTGTCCAGGTCATGGGGTGGCCAACGACGGATGACTTTCCTGATCCAGGGGATGTAGGGGGCTACAGCGGTAGCCACAGGGGGCTTGAAGATGTCTGTGCAGGTTTTGGAGCTGAAAGACAGGATCCCATCCACCTGGCCTTTGCCACACACCAGAGGTCCTCCAGAGTCACCCTGTTGAAGGTGATTGGTATGGATGAGTTCTTGTGCCCGCAGAGTGGGCCAGGGGCCGCTTACAAGCCACGGTGCATCCTTGCCTTTCTCTCTTCTTTCTACCCCAGGGCCTTTGCTCTGGGCCCAGGTGACAAGTCTGTGGGCTGGATTTCAAACCACAACTCTCTAGCTTCCTGACTTCTAACCTAGAGAACATGTTTACTCTCCTGGAGCCTCGGTTTCTGCATCTGAGAAATGAGATGAGTGTTACAACCCCCCTCGCCCCCGCCTCGGCCCCGCCAAAGGTGTCAGAAGCCAGCTTGAGTTGCCGCCCAGACCAAGCCTTCGGGTCCCCTTCACCTTGCAGGGCGCCTGGCTCCTGGCTGCTGCCTTCAAGCATAGCATGCCGTCCTCGAGGGCACCGTTCCAGAAGCGGCTGTTGTTACACATGCGGGTGTCCAGGACACGCAGATCCAACTCCTGCAGGGCGCGGGCTAGGGGCCCACCTTGGTGGATCCTTCCCCAGCCAGCCATGCTGCACCGAGCACCTTCTGCCGGCCTGGCTTGGTTCTTTCTTGGCAGAGCCAGCGGCTGGACATTCCTGCTGGGCCGCAACCGTCCATCCAGCTGTGGGGACAAGAGGGCCAGTGAGTGGCTGAGGGAAGTCGGGCCGTGGCAGGCCCTCAGGCCCTCCATCCTGCACCTTTAACAGAGCCAGGTCGTTTTCATAGTTGCGGCTGTAGCCAGGGTGCTTGATGGCTGCCTTGATGTGGAAGGCGAGGCCGGGATCTCGCAAGTCATGGAGGTGGTGCAGGCCTAGCACCAGCTTCAGCTGCTGTACCCTGCAATGCAGAACCCCACTTGCACACACCATCCACAGCCTGAGAACTGCCGTTCCTCCTTCCCCATGCACCCACACTCACAGCATCCTCCCCAGCCCACTCCTGGAAGATCATCTTCCATCTTCGCCGACATCCTACCCCCACCCCCTACCCCAGGCTTCCTGCTCCGGCTCCTGCCCAGCGCCAGATTGGGAGACTCTGAAGACTTCCTGCATCTATCCAAATGACAGAGAAATAACCTCTTTCCACAGGAATCAGGGGTCCTCACTTGCAGCCAGGTGAGAGACCCTCAAGGGAATACCTGGATCAAGCCATACCTGAAGCCTAGACTTCTGGAATACATGGCTAATTTCGTTTTTTTGTTTGTTTGTTTTTTTAAGATAAGATCTTAATGTATGGTACTGGCTTTTCTGGAACTAACTATGTAGATCACTTAAGAGATCCAGCTGCCTCTGCCCCCTCGAAGGCTGGGATTAAAGCACACTTAAGGGCCCCTTCCTTTTGCTCAGGGCTCAGGATTTTTTTCTTTAGTGTTGAGGATGAGATTTGGCATTAGGCTGGCACTCTACCATTAACAACGTCCCACCAGGATGGATGTATTTAGTGATGTCTCGATGGCAGTTCCTGCTACACAAACTCCGTCTCCTTGGCAGGCTTTCACAGATTGTCAGGGGTCACAGGAAGGAGGCACCCTTTCCACTTGACCAGAACCAACAGCCTATGTAGCCCTGAGAGGGTTGGCCTGAGTCCTTCAGTGCCTTAAGATAGGGAGTCTTTGGAGGTTTGGGGAAGGGGGTGGGACACTCACGGTTCTGACAGGCAGTGGGCAGCCGTCAGCACCCACTTTGGATGCACAAGGACTCCTCCGCACACATGGGACCCGTCTTTCTGTAGAGAGGCCATGTATGGGCGAGAGTGTGGAGCCACCTCTCGACCCCCAATGATGTGGGTCTCAAATGTGTTGCCTGCTAAGAAGTGAGACAGAGAGGGCAGGTTAGGGAAGCTGCACCTCTACCCTCCACTGAGCCTGGAAGCCCTGTATCTGGCAGATCTGTTGTCTGAAGTCCCCGTTGACCCCTGTCCCAGATGCGACTAGGCCCCAAGGCTCAGACACTGCTTGGCTGTCAGTCCAGGCTGGAGACAGAACCTGAGCTTGGTTTCCAGGACCCACTCCGGGTGACTCACAGCTCCAGAGGACGTGACACCCCCTTCTGTGCTCTGAGAGCACTGCACTCACCATCACCCCATATTTCAAAAAGGTAATTACAAAAGAGAACATAAAATGAGAGAAAAGGTTACTGGTAGCCACGGGGGGTTGGGGGGGAAGTATGGATGAGGGGCTGACCCCTCTGTTCCCAGTGGACAGGAGTGGGGTTCTGATATTTACCATAACAATGGAAGAACCTTCAGGACATGGTGCTGGGGAAAATCTGACACAAAAGGCCACACGGTGTGAAACTTCATAACAGGAAGTGGATTTGTGGGTGCCAGGGTGTGGGGTGAGTGTTCTTAGGGTTGAAGAGGTACCTACACTCTTTTTGTTTGTTTGTTTGCTTTTTTTGTTTTCTTTTTTTGAGACAGGGTTTCACTGTGTTGTGAAGTCCTGGTTGCTCTGGAACTCTCTAGATGAGGCTGGCCTCAAACTCAGAGATGTCTGTCTCTGCCTCTCGAGTGCTGGAATTAAAGGCATGTGCCACCACCACCCAACTGGTACCTACAGTCTTGTGTGGCTTCTGAACTTCAGGGAGCTGAGCAGTATGTGGATTATTTCTCTATAAACTTCACGGATGTGTTGATTGAGGACGCCTGGCTGGGCTCAGCATAGAGAGCTTGCCCACTGCACACAGAGCCCTGGCTGAGTTCTAGTCCCCCATACCATAGAGACAAGGTCTAGTGCTGCACACCTGTCATCCCAGGTCTGGAAAGGTGGGAACAGGAGCAAGGTTAAAAAAGTAAAACAGGGCAGAGACAGGCGGATTTCTGTGAGTTCGAGGCCAGCCTGGTCTATAAGAGCTAGTTCCAGGAGAGTCTCCAAAGCTCCAAAGCCACAGAGAAACCCTGTCTCAAAAAACCAAAATAAAAAAAAAAAAGAAAAAGGAAAAAAATTGTAAAATAGTAGGCAGTGGTGGTGCACACCTTTAATCCCAGCACTCGGGAAGCAGAAGCAGGTGATCTCTATGAGTTCAAGGCCAACTTGGTCTATGGAGTTAGTTTCAGGACAGCCAGGGCTACACAGAGAAACTCTGTGAAAACAAAACAAAATTTAAAATAAATATTGATAAAAATTTAATGTGAACCAACTCAAAATCTCCTTGATTTCCCATCATGTCCTAAGGATCCTGCAGCACCCTGAGGCACATGGCCAGTCCACATCTTCGCAGCACCACCACTACTTCCTCGGGGCTGGTTCCCATCGGGGCTTTGACACACAGAAGAGAGCCGAGTTCTCTGTTATGTATGATTCCTGAAACTTTATTTTGAGACAGGATTTTCCCTGTGTAGCCCTGGAACTCACTCATAGACCAGGCTGGACTAGAATTTACAGAGATCCACCTGGGTGTGCACCACCTCCCCCCAGCTCAATTCTGGAAGCTTAAAAAAAAAAAAAAAAGGAAGAAGATAAAAAGAAACCCAAACCGAGTAAATGAAAGAGAAACCTTTGTGACTTCATAGGGCCAGCGTGCACACTTGAAGGCTGACCTGTATCTGCAGAGCTGTGCAGTCAGCAGCCATCCATAACTGAGTAGCTTTCTACCACCCAAGGAAGTCTCCCACCCACGTGCTTTCCTTTTTCTTCCCCTTGAAACAACAAACAAACAATTCTGAGACATCTCGTGTAGCCCAGGCTGGCCTGGGACTATAACTGAGAATGCCCTGACCTCCCAGTCCTCCTGCTTCCACCTCCCCAGTGCTGCGAGGACAGGCGTGTGTCACGATGCCTGGTGGAACGTGCTGGGTGAGGGCTCTGCCCTCTGAGGCCCAGGCCCAGCCCCACCACATACTTTAAAATCATGTCCCTCGACTGAGGCAGGTTCAGTGGTGTAGCCTGAGCTACACTGTATCTCCATCAACTCTCCAAACAAAATTACTGTGTTGTAACCACACAGAGAGACCAGTGGCTAATCTGCAACTTAAGGAAGAGTTGTTATACTTGCAAAGAGTCAACTTCCTCCTCCTCCTCTTTTTGCTTTGGAGAAGGTTCTAGAAGGTTCAAAACAATTGAGTGTAAAAAATTGGGAGGGTGGTGGCACACACCCACACCTCTAATTCCAGCTCAGGAGGCAGAGGCAAACAGGTCAGCCAGGACTAGAATATTAAGACCTTGTCTCAAAAAAAAAGTGTGTGTGCGCGTGTACATGTGAGAACGTGCACATGTGTATGGAGGTCAGATCAAGTTTGGTGTCTTCCACATGCTATACCTTAAATGTTTGTGGCTAGGTCTTTCACTGAGCTTGTAACTCAATGATTCAGCTTGAGTCCCAGCTCCTGCTCTAGAGCTGTGATTGTAGGCGGAAGGCATCACCTAGCGTTCTCCCCTGAAGATGCTCACTATGTAGCCCTGGCTGACCTGAGTTCAGAGATGAAAGGCCTGTGATCATGTGATGCTGCTATAGCTCCTTTGAATCCTCTGGTCTCCACCTCCAGTGATGGGAAGACAGGCATGTGCCATCTCAGGATGGAACCCAGTCTTTGCGTGTGCCAGGCACATGACCCACTAACTTAAGCTATATCCTAAACCTATGACAATCCTCCTGCCTCATTCAGCGAGTGCTTTTTGTAGAGGCCGTTCCTCAGGGATTTCTCAGTAGGCAACCCCACCTCTCCCATCCCCAGGCCCCTGAAGACCGGCTTCCTCTTCATGCTCACCTGCCCAGTGTTTCCAGAGCTAGCAAGAGCAGCAGGGACTGGTGGACCTCCATGCTGGTGCAGATGTGTGGTCCGGGGTGTCTGTGTCTCCCCACTTTCTTCCTGTGAGGACAGGTGGCCTTCCACGTTACACCCACCTAGTACAAGTGACAGCTCCTCCCTCACACCCTGCTCTGGGTGACTTTAGAAAGTGTCTCTGGGGACAGCAACTGTAGCCACCACCAAATCCCCGGTGCTCAGTTCCCTATGGTTTTTACAAGTCTTTTGCTTCCTTTAGCACCGTTCTGACACCTAACTCCGATAGAGGCAACTTGCAGGGCCAAGTTCTCCCATCACGTGGGTCTGGACTGGAACTCTTGATGGCCTAAGGGTGTTTTTTTTTTTTTGAGGAAAGTCTCACTATGTAGCTCTGGTTGTCTTGGAACTTACTTTGTATACCATGCTGGGCTTGAACTCACCAAGATTAGTCCACCTTTGTCCCAGAGTGATGACTAAATGTGTGCACATCCCCACCACCTTTCACCTTACTTAACATTTTTTTTCTCCTAAAGATTTAACCATCTGTAATTAGGTCTGGTGCCCTCTTCTGGCCTGTAGGCATACATACATACATTATATTGTATATATAATAAATATTAAAACAAAAAGATTTATTATTATGGTCGGTGTCCTGCCTGTTATTTATGCCTACAGCCCAGAACGGGCAGCAGATCTCATTACAGATGGGTGTGAGCCACCACGTGGTTGTGAGAAATCCAATCAGAACTTCTGAGCCATCTCCCCAGTTCCCACTTTCTTACCATCTTAACTAGAAGTGAATAGCCCCCAACTCCCCAGTCTCCTTCCGTTACAAACGACCTTGTCCTCCTGTGACCAGCTATGACTGGCAGGGCCCCTTTAAGCACAGTTCAATAGACTACTGCTCCAGAGACAGGAACTCTGGACATAAGAGGCCGACTATGGGGAAGGGGCACTGAATGTTGCTTTTCTTTTTTTTTTTTTTTCCAGCAGGGTTCCTCTGTGTGAGCACTCTGGCTGACCTGATCCACCTGCCTCTGCCCCCCGACCGCCCAGCCTTCTTCTCCTTTATTTACACGGCACCCACAAGCCATCAGAAATCTCAAGTCCTGGGTTCCAGCCCCAGCGCATTGGAAATGAAGGGCAGGCCCGTCACCTCGGCACTGGGATGTTAGAGTAAGACTCCCCCTCCCTTTTCTTGGGGAGTCACCAGGCTGCAGCTCAGTCCCCCAGCCACAGACTGCTGGGAAAATGGGCCCTCCACACGCCTCTGGACCCAGGGCTTTCCAGAGAAACAAACCTCAGGCCTAGGCCTCCTGACTGAAGGCTGGAAGTGGATGCAGGCCGATGGTACAGCCGCAGGGCCAGCTGTAGAGGGCATGACCTGCAGGCAGCAGGGAGCTGCTTCCGGGCCTGGAGCCCACGCAGACCCCTGAGCCCGACGAACAGATCAGTAAAAGTGCTTCTTCCTGCCCGGCCCACTGCCCTGGCATCCTGGCTGTTTCTCCCAGCTTCTCAGAAAGCCATTTTATTTGGGTTTCACACACACCAAAGCAGAGAGGAGGTGACTGTGGGGCTGGCCCTGCTTGGGCTGGGACGGAGTCTCTGCCTCCCCACGAGGTGGTTCCCAGCCTCCCAGGCTTGTCACCATCTGTGAGTTGAGTGGGGTATCTGCCAGGCACCACGGGGTAAGAGGACCTAAGGGTCACGGGACGGGAGCCCATATGGAACCTCGGTGAGGTAGTCTGCCGCCTGAGGCCCACACGGGTCCTGCTGAGGTAAAATTTGTAAGTTTATTTCGGGGACGTGGTCAGGACTCCTCGGCGCCAGAGTCGTCCTCCTCGTCCCCAAAGCAGCTGTCGGCCTCCTCCACATCCCCATCCTCGTAGTAGTCATCATAGAAGAGGTCCGAGCCCTCGTCGGGCGCCGGCGCCTTGGTCTTCACGCAGTACTCAGCCAGTGTGGTAGGCACCTTCACGCCATCACGCTCTGCGTCTACCTTGGTCCCCAAGACCTGCTTCCTGGGGAGACAGGGGAGGTGAGGCCACGGCCCAGGACACAACAGGTGGCTCACACCTGCCCCTAGACAGGAAGTAACCACAGCCAGGTTCAGGACACAGGTTGAGTCTAGGGCCAGCCTGGGCTAGCAGGACAAACAGAGCCAGAGACAATGCAGTAAGGGCACCTACTGTGCAAGCACAGCACCCAAGTTCAGTCCCCAGCACCACACCAGCTGCATGGCAGCCTCCAGGCCTTTAATTCTAGTGCTGTGGGGGAGCACACAGGACCTGCAGGGAAGGTGACAAAGCAGAACACCAGACACTGTCCCCTGACTTCTGTGTGTGCACCCACACACCCACCACACTGACACCAAACAAACTCTCCCAACTGCAGCCCAAGCTGAGGCACTGATGAAGGGCGGTCCTGGAGGCCTGCGGTTGAGCATGTGTGAGTGTGTGAGTGAGTGTGTGTGTGTGTGTGTGTGTGTGAGAGAGAGAGAGAGAGAGAGAGAGAGAGAGATACAGGGACTCCAGCATACTCTGGAGTACTCTGAAGTAGCACACAGAGCCAGAGTGTCCCTGCACAGGAGCAGTGATTAAAGAAATCAAGCCTGAGGAGGGGGATGGGGGGGTGGAGAGATGGCTCAGAGGTTAAGAGCACTCACTGGCTGTACTTCCAATTCCCAGCAACCACATGGTAGCTCACAACCACCTGTAATGAGAAGATCTGGCGCCCTCTTCAGCACACAGAACACTATGTACATAACAAATACATCTTGAAGAAGTGCAGGTCCTAACGGGAAGGCGAAGAGTGGGGCAGACGCTGGCTGGTCGTAGTTCCCCACAGAGGACTGAGAAGACACTGTTGGAGGACAACCACGATAGCACATCCTAACAGCCTAGACCTGTCTCAAGGCTCTCCATGGCCCGTCCTGTGGCTGGACACTGGCTCTCAGGCTGGAACCCAGGAGCAGCACAGCCTCCTCGTGGTCACAGCAAGTGGCTCCTGGAGTCAGGCTGGTAAAAATAGCCCAGGGCTTCTGCTCTGGGACAGGGACACAGCAAGGAAGCGGCCAGGAGAACTGGGCCAAAGGCTGCCAGGAGGCAGGAGACCTGCAGTGAACAGACCAGATCCAAAGCCTCCATTGGCGCCTGTACCCAGGGACGCTCCGTGTAGGACAGAGTCCGCTGCAGCCCAACAGACACCATTATGGCCAACATACCAAGTCCCAGCTGTCAGGCTGACCGGAAGTGGGCGATGGGAAGGGCTTAGTGTGCTCAAGGTGACCTCACGCTTAAAACAGCTACAAATGACAGAACAGCCCACAACAACAGGCTATAACTAAGTTGCATGGTGGTGGCCTGCGGCTTTAATCCCATCACTCACCATGGCAGAGTCAGGTGGATCTGAGTTCAAGGCCAGCCTGGTTCTACATGGCTAGTTCCAGGACAGCCAGGGCTACATAGGAAAACTTTGCCTCAAAAAACTAAGAAAAGAAACCCCACAGGGCAGCTTGCCTTCTTGCCAGCTGGGTTTGGGCTGCAGGCAGCCGGAGCAGAAGACAAAGGGGACAGGGCTGCGGGGACTTCCAGACCGTCCTGACCTGAGCACTCAGACCTGCCCATGTAACTAATACCTCCACACAGGAGCTGACCACACAGAGGAGAAGCAGAGGTACGTTCTGTCTGATGGATCTGTTAGAGACCCCGATCCAGGGTCTTGCTGACCACCAAGCTATAGTCCATGTCAATTCTGAGAAGCCAGGCCAGCCTTCTGCAGGACAAGGCACAGGGTCCCGCTGGGCGGTGCTCGCCCTGGCCATGGCTCCAGGATGACATGCAGGGCTTGCTCAGCACATCTGCTGATGGGCCTAGGACAAGCACCAGTCCTCCTGGGTGAGTGCTAAGGCAGGAGACTGCTGCCTGTGAGGTGTTTTGTCATCCTGGCATCAGGAGGGAACTTGAGGAGGAGAACATGGGGTTCTAAGAAGGCCTGTCTCAGAAAACAGAGAAGTCAAGTGACCGGGAATGTGGGTACTTGTGTGGACACTCAGCAGGGCTGAGAAGCTGCAGGGTTTGACATTGGCCTAGAATCCTGCAAGTTCAATTCCATAGCCAGCTTTAGGGGTGCAAGGGAGACCACCTGACCCCCAAATAAGCCAGGAACAAGCTAAAAGCTGATGACGGATATGAACGCGGCTCATAGTGGGCTCAGTGACCTTCCCCCTTTGCAGAAAGGCTCACACCAACAATTGAGGATGTGGCCTAGAGTGCTCTAGTCACCCATGAAGGTAAGTAAGCTGAGTGACAAGTCAGAGCGAGGATCAGGGATCTGGACAGGGGCACACAGACCCCCCAGCTGGGGATGTAAGACTGGAAACATACAACAGCTGCTGCCCCGAGGAGCGGCTGGGTAGCAGGGGGACAGAGAAGAGCTGACCTAGTGGGGCACACTCCACTACACACGTGAAGCACAGATGACTCTTACAGCAAACAGCACCTCTATAAGGAGACCCAGCAGCTGTCCTGGCTGGTACTGACACTCACCGGATGATGTCCGTGTACTCCCGGTCCTTTCCCTTGCTCTCCTTCCACTTTCTGTACATCACCGAGGCATCCACATTGGCGGGCGAGAAGGTGTTGGGCTCATTCAGCAGGGAGATCACACTCAGAAGGATGGTCCTGGGGGGCCACGGGACAAGCTCAGCTCCCCGGAGACCCTGGGAACCCAACTGGTGGAGTAACGAAGGAGGGACAGGGTGCAAGGTGTCTCGGGGTGCCCAAGGTGCAAGGACACATGCAGTTCTCACCTGACATTCTGTGTGGGGTTCCACCGCTCTGAGGGCAGCTCCCCACTCTGAGGGTCGTCAACTGGGGGATGGAGGATGGAGATGCACACGTCCCCTGTCTGCAAAAGTAACAGGATTAGGTGAGCTGTGGGGCGAGTGCAAAGGTGGCATTGTGTGTGTGGTGGGCTGTACCCGAGGCAGGCTTCTGTAGTGCTGGTAGTGACTTACTTACCTCATAAATGTTTGGGTGCCACATCTTGGTGAGGAAGCGGAAGGCTGGTGGGGAATATGGGTAATCGATGGGAAACTTGAGACGAGCCTGCAGGTGTCAGAAAGTGGGGGTGGGTCAATGGTGCAATGGCAGTCCACTGAGCACTGGCATTAGGCGCTGTGCCCAGAGGATAAAGAACAGTGTCTGTGACAGGTGGCCTTGTCTCTGTGCCGTCCAGGCCCCCACCTCTGTGACCTGGCATCCAGGTGAGGAAATACAGAGTGACAGTTACCCACTGTGGGCCAGCCAGGGGACACGTCAGCAGGTCTCCCACCAGCACAGCCCAGGCTCAGGGGAGCCCCCCGCCTGGCCAGAGCAGCTGTTTATGGCTCAGGTTCACCCCTTCCCACTGCCCTGCAGACTTTACAGTCTGGTAGAGGAGAAAGGCCTGACATTTGCCCTAGTTTTGGGGCTCCCCTAGGGCAGTCTCTGGAGGTCTCCTGGGCAAGAAGAACGAACACTTAAAGAGCAGTGGTCTGTGGCCCCAGAGCTAGCCAGTTATTTCAAGCTGGAGGCTCTGCCCCACGGCTCCTTCCAACTGGACCAGACAGACACAAACCCAGTGTGGCGTTTCCAGCCCTGGGCTCCTCAGGACAGCTGAGAGGGGAACAGAACCTGTCACTTCTATGACTCCAGATATTTTTTAAAAATGAGCAAACTGCCACCGTTTAAAAGCAGCTGCCTCTGGGCTCTACTTCCTCTCTCTAAGCTTTCTCTTGTCCCTGCTCTATCTTCCCTTCCCCCAATTTTCCTCAATCAAATGCTCCGAATAAAGACGTGACCAGGGAAGGAAAAAAAAAAAAAAAGAGCAAACTGGCCGGGTAGTGGTGGCACATGCCTTTAATCCCAGCACTCAGGAGGCAGAGAAAGGCGGATCTCTGTGAGTTTGAGGCCAGCCTGGTTACAAGAGCTAGTTCCAGGACAGGCTCCAAAGCTACAGAGAAACCCTGTCTCGAAAAACCAAACACACACACACACAAAAAAACAAAACAAAAACAAAAAAATTACTGAGCAAACGGAGGCTCAGCATCAGAAAGGTTCCCACCCATTCCTGGACAGCCCCATTCAAAACGAGACAGGCTGGTCATCCAGAGCAAGCTCCTAACAGTTCTCCTCAGAGGGGCTCTATGTCTCAACCACCCACACCACACAGGAGGCACCTATGCTGGCAGATCTGACTGACATCCTGCAGAGCCTCTTCCCAAGCTGTCCTTAGAATGATGCGGGCCTAGAGGCCCTACCCACCATCCTTTACAGGCGGGGAGCAGCTCAAGTGCCCATGCTTGTCCTCCTGGCAGTCACCGCCTCCACTCCAGGAGGTATTAATAGCATCTGGACAGCCCAGACCACAGTCCAGGGTGGGAGACAAGGGTACCCACATATCTCGCATTCTCCATATGCGGCACCCGAGAACCCTGACGGAGTAGACTACTACAGTCCCAATCACTGCCCAGGAAGGGTGAGGACAACAGCCACAAACGAAGACACAGGACCTACACCTGGGACCCGGGCTGCCTAGGATCTGTGCATCCACCTAGTCCTCACCGTGCTCCTCTTGGCCCCTGAACAAGATCGAGTCTGCTAGGAGTTTCAGTCCACAGCAAGCAGGATGGTCCAACCGCACTGATGTGGGTTCCTACACTTGGCAACATCGGGTCTGCCCAGGCTCCCTGCTCCCAGCCACAAAAACATCGGGTGCATTGAGCCTTAAGCCACCAGAGGGCGGATGGCACTGCTTGCAAGGCAGAACTAGGCCTCAGGAAGCTACCAGGACAAGGTGGGTAGGTCGGCTCCTGCCTCCACTGTCCTCTTGGAATGTATCACAGGAAACCTGGCTATGGCTAAAGATGGTTGTTGTCCAAGTAGGCATGGCTGCCAAAGCCCTGTCAGGCCTCTGCTGGAACTGGAGCAGGTGGCTGTCCAGGCTGTACATCCCTTCCCTGGGGACACACCGGCCAGCAGCTACCCCTGGTCCTGTGTCCTGGAGCGGGGAACAGCCTGAGGATATGCCAGCAAGCAGCTGTCTCTGAGAGTTTGTGTTCCAGGGTGGGGGACAGCCTGGGGATGCCAGGCAGCAGCTGCCCCCGGCTCTTCCCCCCACCCCCCGAGACAGAGTTTCTCTGTAGCTTTGGAGCCTATCCCGGAAGTAGCTCTCCTAGACCAGGCTGGCCTCGAACTCAAAGATTCGTCTTCCTCTGTCTCTGAGTGTTGGGATTAAAGGCGTGCGTCACAACCATCTGGCTGCCCCTTGTTCTTTATGTCCTGGGATGAGGGCAGCCTAGAGGAAAACATGCTTGCCGGCAGAGGGTTCCGAAATCTCCTGTGTCCTGTGAGGGGACTGCCTGGGGACAAAAAAGTCAGCAGCTGTCCCTGGGGAGCCCCTTCACTAGAGCATGCTGGGAGGGGTCGGGACGATCTGGGGAGATCTTTCTCCAGGGACACGCTTAGTTGAGTGCAGGACAGTCTGGGAATAAGCTGGCCAGCAACAGGCTCAGGAGGCCCCTGTGTCTTGCGGTGGGGGACTGCCTGGGGTCAGGCCAGTCATTAGTTGCCCCTGGCCCTCTGTGGCCTCTGCTGGAGGACAATCCAGGGAGATCAGACCC